ATCACTTTTTGCCCCCGATCTTAGTACCATTTGAGTGGCGCCTAAGATTGGCAACTGAGCTGGAATCGAATCGCGCTCAGCAGGTTGCACGGCACCTGCCATAGAATGCCCACCGACCACGACTTTTTTGCGCTTTGGGGAATCAAACTCAGCTAGCATGCGACTAGTGAGCTGCGATTCAAGCGCCACGAGCAGTTCCGTATTTTTACGGCAGTTCCGGATTAATTCCGTAACACTGCTTTTTGTGAGCCGCCTAATAGATATTGCCTGGTTCTCGTATACAATGCATTCATCGAAGTAGTAGCGTAGGCCACTCCTCTTATCGATGACATCGCGAACCAGGCCAGAAAGTCACTTTGCGTGATAAATTTTATCACATGTATGGCAGGGAATACTTTGCTGTCCAGCCGAGATAACTTTCTTGCAATTTTGTAAAGAACAGAAAGCCATTATTACTGACCACGGACCACTGTGCACTATAGCGGACAAAAAAATCGAAAGCGCTCAAGAACTTTTAAATGAGAGAACAAAGGGAGCGACAGAGCGGGAGCGAAACACCGAATTACTTTGATGTTAGGCGAGAAAGAAACGAAAAGATAGAGAGAGCGGGATTATTAACCGATTAACTCCGGTATAAAACACTTCCGAAAGATATTACCGTTCGAGTGCGTGCCGTTCCAACAGCGCTCAACGACGAAGAGAAAGACTGAAAAGAGGGGCAATAGAAAACAATAACAAACCTGCACCGAATTAAATTATGATAAAAACTTTTTATTTTTAAACACAAGTTAATCACGATGCACTCGCGAAGCGAACGGAAACTTGTTAGAAGACACTTAAAGGTGTAGAAACGTTAAACAGATTTAAGTAAACCCCGGTGGTTTCAATAATAAAAATGAAAATTCGGAGCGCAAAACAGAAACACGACCGTTCACTGTGAAGGCGCTCAATTTGCGCCTAATGATGGGGAAGATAATATTGATGAGCGGATGCGTTTTTAGATGCTAAAGACATGTGCCAAGGTTGAGGTATTCCTTTATACAGGCTGTGTACTGCGACTTCAGATCTAAAATTCAAGTTTATTTAGCCCCGAGTGAATTAAACCGAAGGAGCGCACGATCGTATGAATTTTCATAGAACATCAAAACTAGTTTTGGCAGGAAGAAGAAACGAATATTGGCCAGATTCAAGCCGCGTCTACTGCTGTTGAATAGCTGCTCGCATAGAGCTTTCTCCTTCGAAATGGTTATTGAAGATCCTTTGCAACTGGCGATTTCCCAAAATCTCTTTAGTATATCAGAAATTGACTCTGACTCCGACGAACTGCTGGGTTCCTGAAGTAAAGAAACTAAAGATGAGCGCATTGGCACTCTGACACACCTTTAGACACTCTGAGATTATCCAGCCAAGTCTGGTTTTCTGCAGGGTGGGTAAATGGTTTCCTAAACGAATTTGTCCAATACAAAGCTGCTCAAAGAATATACTTGCTCCAATAAGCAAGTCGATGCGCTGACTTTTGTAGAAGAGAGGGTCGGCGAGCTCGAGATTTTCCGTTTAAGGTCGAAATGTGGGTGATAATCGGTGATTGACTGGGTAACAGCAGCTGCGAGCGATGAGCTTTACTTTGCTTAACTGGAGTGTGCAAAAATAAAAACCGATTTATCCGATGCTAGCGAAGACTCACCGATTCCTGATATAGAAATGCTTCAGGGGTGAATTTTAAGTTGAAGTTGATTATCGAAACGAGAGGTGACGAGGTTAATTTGAGAGGCCGAATTGAGTAAGGCCCGGCATGGCACGAATACGCCAGAGCCGTTTTTGACATATACTATGGCGGTACCAAGCAAAACGTATTCGGTATTATTTGGCGACAAGGCTACAGGTGGAGCTTTGGACAAGGCTACAGGAACTAAAGATGAGATATGTGGTGGCATTTCAGGACCAGGCTGCTGAGGGGGTCCAATGGGATTCGATTTCATATGAAGAAGAGAATGATGCTTCTGGCGGCAGCTCCTACAATTGCCAGACCTGCTTTGCTGTTAGCTTTCTTGGGCAACTTAAGCTAAGATAAAGCCTTTCTGATTCTTTATACCGCTGAGTGGGAGTAAATCTTAAAAATTGTGGGTAAATAATGTTCCTTGAACTCGCATAGGGTACAAAATGGGAATGTTGATGATGAAGCAATAATAGTGCTGCGATAAAATTTGCTAGCTACTTTTCATGCGTCATCTAAGTTCCAAAAATGTTGAAAATTTGTCCCATTTTGGCAGCTTCTTGGCCGGCAAACCATCATCCCACCTCGCCTGGGTCTAGTGATGGATTAAAACACCAAATATCTCGTGCGTAGCTGCCATAGTAGTAAGGGCGCGCAATTGTGAATTTGCCTTGTCTTTCAACTGCCGCAAACTACTTGCGGATCCCTTCTCCACACCTGGTAGCTTGAATAATAATTTGTAATAATTTATTTTCAAATCACTAAGTAAATAATTCCAAGGCCCAGTTATAATTCTTCTCACTGGACTCCAGGGACCGAATTGTTTCAAACGCTGTGCTGTCCAAGCATGATCGAAGATGATGTAATTCAGCATAGAAGAGCTGGCAAATAGTGAAAATTACACTTTCTGGAAGCTCAATAATCATCTTCGGAGTTATTAGATTGCATCCTGGATATTTTTGTGGTTGCAGGTGCTCCTTTATGAACTTGGTTTTATCACTCGGCGTAAATTCAATGTAATCGTGAACGTTGTCGTCTACTCGTTGTTTTATAGGTAGCACGCCTGATCCTGGGTTTGGCTAGAAAAGATTCTGAAGATGGATAGCGAATGTGTCGGCTCTATCTTTGTCGCAACTAGATGTTCAACAATTCCTTTCGGAATATTATTCCACTCTAGTTCAACACGCCCCCAAAGATCGATATTGATTTATTGGCATTTTTTTATAGCCGCTAAGATGTTGTTGCCTTATTTAATATCGTTTCCAAAGTAAAAACGTTTGTCGGCCAACGGGAGGTCTCCGTATCTGCCGACCACGGTGTCCGAGAGCTCTCGGATGGGGGTGCGGATACGGACGTTCGGCTCCACTTTCAAGACTACCTCTAGCTTGAAGCCGTTGTCGCACTTCGACCGAATTGTCGCCGTGCAGATGCTCTCGTCGCCGACGGTCGTAGTCGGCAAGCGGAATGCGGACGCCAATGATGCGTCGATGCAGCTTGTCGGCGTACACGGGTCAATGAGGGCGGCCGTGTCAAAGGTCTTCAGCCCGGTCTCCAAAGTGACCATGGCCGTCGGCAGGACATTCACGCTGTGCCGTTGAAGGATGGACGCAAGTGACGGAGCCGGTGCCGAGGAGGCTGAGCGCGACGGAGAGGCAAGCGCTCTGCGAGTTGGCGGATCTTGCCGGCGCGAGCGCTGCTGAGAAGCGGCGGATGCCGAGCGCCTTGCCGGGGCTAGCGCTTGGCGAGTTGGCGGATTCTGCCGGCGCGAACGCTGTTGAGTAGCCGACGGCAGGGGACGCTCGTGCATATGGAGGAGCGTGTGGTGCTTCCCGTTGCACGTTTTGCATTTGTCGCCACTGCGACAACTCCCGTCGGAGTGCTCGTGGGCGAGACAATTTGAACAGTACTTATTAATAAGCACTGCCCGAAGCCGCTTCTCTGCGCTCAGCTTTAGGAACCTCTGGCACTTTCGAAGCGGATGGATTCCGCGGCAGACTCGGCATCGGTAGGAATGTATACCTCGAGTACGTCTGCTTTCCAATGCCTGAGCGCTGCGTGGACGAGGAACCATGATGTGATCTGGTAGGGAGTAATGGATAAAAAAAAGATGATTTGAAACTGCTTAGATGGCGAGGATTGTTGGGGAATTATGTGGAGGATGTTGGTTGAGGAAGACGGTTGGAGTGTTCTCCTGGCAGAAGAACCACCTTGGTCACGGGACGCTTGATAATCCTGCGTGCCGTGAGAATGCTGACGACACGGACATTGCCGTCAGCCCCCGGAAAGACAGAGTCGATTCTGCCAAGGCGCCACTCATTCGAGGGCAGATTGTCCTCCTTGACGACTACCATGTCGCCAACGCGGAGATTTGCGGTCGGGGACTGCCACTTGTTACGCTTGTGGAGCTCTTTGAGATACTCCTCTTTCCATCGAGCTTGAAATTGTTGATGGAGCGCCTTTAAGTGTTGCCACCGATTCACAATGGACTTGGATTCCCCTTTTAATTCGGGTTCCACTATGGCCAGAAGAGGTCCGTCGACTAGAAAATACCCTGGTGTCAATGCTAAGAGATCAGTGGGATCTTCAGACATAGGAGATAGCGGTCTGGAATTTAGACAAGCTTCAATTTTCGCTAGGAGGGTTGAAAGTTCTTCAAAAGTGTACTTTCGAGTAGCGGTGGACTTGTAAAACAAGGTTTTGAAGCTTTTGACACCCGCTTCCCACAGGCCTCCCATATGGGGTGCCCCCGGAGGAATGAATTGCCAGTTGAGCTGCTGATGACTTTACGCATCAGTCACAGACTCTTTTACGGCTTGTAGAAAATCTCGGGAGAGCAGGGTGGCAGCGCCGACAAAGGTTTTCCCATTGTCGGACTGCACTTGACGGGGACAACCTCTTCTGGATACGAACCGAGCGAAAGCGGCGAGAAATTTCTCGGTCGTCAGATCGGATGTAGGCTCTAGATGGATGGCCTTTGTAGAGAAACACACGAAAACCAACACATACCCTTTTGTAATTAGGCAAGCTCTGCCTGTGTAATTTTTTATGTCGAAAGGGCCAGCGTAGTCCATCCCTGTGTACGTGAATGGCCGGGAAAAAGAGACTCGCTCTTTCGGAAAACTTCCCATCATCTGAACTTGTAATCGCTTCTTATGGATAACGCAGACCTTGCAGGAGTTAATAACGGCCCTTACCAAGTTCTTTATTTTCGGAACCCAATATCTTGACCGGGTGAGACGTACGACTAACTGGTTACCTCCGTGCAACGTTATGAGATGCGTAAAGTTTACGCATGTCGTTCATCATATCGCAAATTTTCGGAGGCCGTTATTCGGCCGCACGCCCTTATAAGCCCTTTCTCATCTAGAAAGGGGTTCAAGGAGAGGATGGAACTTGTCGCGGACACAGGACGCTTTTGACTCAAGCAGCGATATTCATTAGCAAAATATCTGCGCTGAGTGCTAATGACCATGAGCCGTTCAGCGGCGACAAGTTCTTGGGCTTCTAGATGGACTTCCGGAATCGGCGACTGCTTCCTACATCGCTGGACAAAACGGTGGACATACGCAAAGACCCGTAAAGCTCTATTTAACTTGGAAAAGCGATCAAGGATGTCTTCTGTCGGAATGGACGCAACGTGGGCCTTGACAGGACGCCTTTCCACTTCGGTCACCTGTAAGTCGGTGCTCTGGGCAGGCCACTGATCTCGTGGCTTTTGCAACCAAGTGGGCCCATGCCACCAAAGGGACTTGTCGACCAGTTCATGTAATGGCACGCCCCGACTGGCCAAGTCAGCTGGATTGTGTTAATAACGGCCTTTACCTCTGTGGACTGGGTGATCTTTGATACCCGATTGGCAACGAACGTTGTCCACCTGCATGCTGGTTTGGCTAGCCATGCAAGCACAATCGTGGAATCGGTCCAACAATGGAGTTTCGAGGACAGCATCGGCATATGGGGGAGGATGGATTCGGCCATCTCGGATAGCAATAGAGCTCCACACAGCTCTAGTCTGGGAAGCGACACAGTTTTTACTGGCGCAACGCTCGTCTTGGCCGTGAGAAGATGCACTAGCGTCGTGTGCCCCATCTCGACGCGCACATAGATCGCAGCACCGTACGCCTTTTGAGAGGCATCACAGAATCCGTGATGTTCCACTCGGAATTCTGGGCGGAAGGAAACCCATCTGGGAATTCGGACTTGATCTAGGACTGAGTAGCTTTTAAGGAAATCACGCCACTTTTGGCACAGTTCAATTGGAAGTTCATCATCCCACCCTAGATCACGCAGCCAGATCTCCTGCATGAAAATCTTGGCACAGACCACGAAAGGAGCGAGCCAGCCTGCTGGATCAAACAGCTTCGCAATTTGGGAGAGAACATGCCGTTTTGTGAGTGTAGCTTCGGTGGATAGGTCGGGGAGGGCGAATAAAAACTCATCGGATGTTGCTTTGCAACGGACTCCGAGAGTTTTCGCCGTGCTTTCCGTATCTATTTCGAGGAAATCGGCAGTGAAAAGATGATCAGTTCCGATATGAGCCAGAACTTCTTTGTGGTTGGAGGTCCATTTCCTCAATGGAAAACCAGCCGAATCGAGGTCACTCTGCAACTCGCGAATGGTGAGGTGAGCCTCTTCTGCAGAGTCAGCTCCCGAAAGGACATCATCGACATACATGCAACCACGAATAACTTTACTCGCCCTTGGATGGGTTAGTTGCACGTCGGTCGCCAGCTGTTGCAGAACCCGAATTGCCAGGAACGGCGCACAATTGACCACAAACGTAACAGTTTTTAGCTTTATCCTTCCCTATCGCGGAATAAGATACGTTGGAACGCTGTCTGCTTCGGATCTACCCAGATCTGCCGGTACATTTTCTCGATGTCAGCACTATACACAAATCGGAAATATCGTCACTTCAGGATCTGGATGGTTAGATCGGACTGTAGGACCGGGCCAGCATGAAGGATATCATTTAAGCTGACCCCATTGTCTGAGGGGCTGGAAGCGTTGAATACCACTCGAAGCTTGGTGGTCGTACTCTCCGGTTTTAACACTGCATGGTGTGGCAGGTAGTAACATGCTGAATCGTGGGTAGGAAGGACTTCTCTCATGTGATTGAGGTCGAGATATTCTTGAATAACTGAGTCGTACTTGGATTTTAACGTACTGTCCCTTTTTAGCCGCTGCTCGTTTCTTAAAAATTGAGCCAGCGCCTGGGATCTGGAATGTCCTAAGGAGCAATTAATGTTCTCAGGATCTCGAAAAGGAAGACTCACGACATACCTGCCGGTCTCGTCTTTTGTGGTGGTCCGAAGGAAATTGTCCTCACAAAACAAGTCGGATTCTTTTGCCACTTTTACTGGCAGATCCTCCACCTCCCAGAATTTGGTGAGGAGTTTATCGAGAGACGCTTAATACGTGTGTGCAACTTGCGTGGAAAAGGATGATATTTGATCATGCCTCGGAGCGGGTACTGGTCCTTTTAGAATCCAGCGGAAAATGGTCTCTTGACCGAGAAGCGAGCCACAGATGTTCGCTCGGGTACCGCTTAGTAGAATGGATGGAAGTATATCGGCCCCGATTAAAATATCTATTTGTGCGCTCTCATAAAACTTTGGATCCGCTAGCGGAAGTTCGGGAAGGTCTCGCAGGAAATGTTGCGGAAGCGGACATGAAGGAAGATTTCCGGCTATTTGTGGAAGCACGTAGGCAGTGGTGTTTAACTGCAAGCTAGGCCGGGTCGGAGAACGGATCGTGAATTGACAGATCTTTTTGGTCTCAGCGGAGACCGTTTGATTAAGTCCTGAGACCTGTGCTCGGATAACCTGGAACGGCAGTTTAATCAGGTTGAAAAGGCGCTCAGTGATGAAGGTCGCCTCAGATCCGAGTCTATTAAGGCTCGCGCTTGGAAATTGGAACCTCGATGGCATATATTAATTATAGCGGTGCCTAGGAGGACTGACCTAGTGCCTGCCGCAAAATAATTCTGAAGCGTTGACTGCGTGCCACTGGCAGCCGAGGGACCGAGAGAATTTGGTCTGGATCTGGGCGTTGGCATTGGATTTGCGCGCGCTGGGGATGGGCTGCCTCGGTGTAGGAGGGTGTGATGGCGGCCGCGGCACGTGAAGCAGTTATGTGCGCTTTCGCGCAAAGCAGTTTAAACACAGCTGTTTTCTTTTTATATATGCGATGCGTTGGTCGACCGTCATCTGGAGAAATTTGGCGCATGTGCGTACAGGATGGTTCTCTCTATTACAGAGATCGCACCCTCTAGGTTGCCTAGGTGCTACCCTTGTCTCGTATGAATTTATTCTTCGAGACGCCGAGTTGGAAGTTGATGCCCTGGGCTGAGTCTGACTAGAACCTGATGGTCGAACATCATCTATGGCTTCTAGTGTCCTGTGACGCTCCGTTAGGAAAAGGTTCAGCTCGTGCCACGTAGGGATCTCGGCTTTGTTATGGAGGGACTGCTCCCATAGGGAAAGCGTAAGCTTTGGGAGTTTGGACGAGCACATATACACCAAGAGGCAATCCCAAGTTTCGACCTGAATACCGGACATTTCTAGTGCAGTAAGGCAACCCTGGATGGTACTTTGAAGTTCTTTCAAAGCTGACCCAGACTCCTGTGTGACGGACGGTACATTGAAAAGTATCTTTAATTGACTGTTTACTAACAATCGCTTGTTTTCGAAACGCTCAGTGAGGTTATCCCACGCTGATCGAAAGCCTTCATTAGTAAGGGGTGAATTTGAAACTATATTGTGAGCGTCGCCACTCGTTTTAGCATTAAGGTGAAATAATTTTTCGACAGGAGTGAGTCTGGGATTGTAATGGGATATAAATTGCCGTGAAGAGATCCCTAAAGGTTGGCCAACGAAGATAGTCGCCGGTAAAAACTTCGGTATCGCACGGCGGAAGCCGGCAGCCTGACGGAATGTATGTCTGAGAAGGATCAGCTGGCGTTGGGGAAGGTTGCGGAAGTTGCGGAGTTTGCGCTATCATATCTGCTATCTGTGCGCCGCACCTTTCGTACGCGCTGTGGCAATACCCGTACTTAGCCTTGAGGACTGGCAAGCTGTCAGCTGCACCTTCTCCGGCTGCTACAAGGCATGCGGTACAGGCATCGTATTCTTTTTTGATGCGGACCCATACCTCTCGGATTTCGTCTCGGCGAATATTGAGGACGGATAACGTAGGAGGGACCGCCGAGGGAATATTTATTCGCGATTCCAATTCGGACAGTCGATCCGAGACTTCAATAAACTGGCTCATAGCGAGGTCGGCAGCCGTTGCAACCATTTTTGTGCTGGCTCGCGTGGTTCTTTCGATGGAAGAAGGAGCCTTTTTGGGAGGTGGCGTCTTGACCTTTTTAGGTGTGGGCGTCCTTACCGTGATTTTTGGTATTTTCGGTGATGGAACAGGGGATAGTTTGTTGGAACTTTCCCTGGACATACCAAACTAGGATGTTGTTAGGATGGAATGTGCGCGCTGATATTTCGGACAAAAATCAGCGAAACAATTACGGACCCACTTATGGACCGGTGGAAATAGGGTATCGACAATAGTCGATATGCGTGGCTGAATTATGGTTAAAATATTCCCCAGGCTTTTGGTGGAACGATGGAGCAAGAATGGAAAAAAATACCAAAAAAATACCACAAAATAAAAGTACTGAAAAAATACTGTATTTGATGAGGTATTTGTCGTTTAGTATTTTATAGGGGGTAGGTGGCCGAATTAGGATGGGATTGGATGTCTCCGGCAGTGTTTGGAGTTTATTGGTTTTGTTTTTCTTTATTTTAAAATATTCGGAGACAAAAAAAACAAAAAATAATACCTTTCAGTGGTATGCGGGTGGTATTTTTTTCGAATTTTTCTTTTTTATCCCCAAAAGAAAAAATTGAGTATCGATATATATGCAGATTTACCAAGCTCAATAAATAAGAAAAAAAATACTGGAAAGGGCGTTTTTTTTTTTTTTTTTAAAAATGTGAAACCGAAGGAACAAATTAATAAAATCAATAAATTAATTCCACTAGTTCCGCGATGGCGACAGTATTTTATATTTCCCCCCTTTTTTTTTTCTTTTTTGGAACTGGCAGTAATTCTCAGTATTTGTTTAATTTTATTGGAGTTGAACTTGGTGTTTATTAATTTTGTTGGAATTTATTTATGGGATGATTGAAAAACAACTGCCCGAACTTTTGCGGGCTGTGTATTGGTGACGCTGGAATGCGCGGGATTATCGAGCTTTTTGCGGTACTGCAATTTGCGTGTATGTGTAGATGTATGGAATGATCGTGCCCAAAATATGTAACTAAGAAAAACACACTGAGACACAAAAGTTATTTCACGTCGGCTTTAGGAATTTATTTAATATATATTTATTGGATGGCCGACGGAAATACTTGAGCTTTCGGAATTGGGGTGTAGTTATGTAGAAAAATATGTATAAATGTAAGTATGTATATATATATAAAATATGTAATATATGTAATATGGATGTAATATATGTAATATGGATGTAATATATGTAATATGGATGTAATATATGTAATCAATATGTAATTTATTGTGGACTGTATTTGGATTTTTAATAATGTAAGCAAATATTGTCACAGCGGATGTACAATAAAAAATTAATATCAAAAATATTTGTGGGCCGAAATTGGCGGAACACTTAATTTTTGTTTCACTTTTTTGTGGAAAATTAATTGGAACTCAATTTTGAAATTAATTTATTTTTCACTGTTCACTGAATTTTTTTGAAATTAATTTATTTTTCACTGTACGCTTGACTTTTTATTTGCAAACTTTAATTTGGATTTATATTTTTTTATTTTCTTCGATTTGATGGTGGATGTATATTTAGTGGATGTACGGCCAAATGCGAATATGAATTTTGTACATCAATATGCACACGAAAAGGAATTAGAAAATAGGCAATATGGCCGCACGTTAAAAGAGAACGAAGAAATAAAAGACGGAATTGGAATTGTAATTTACTAACTGCCGTCGTCGGATTAAATCGGACTTGGATTTTAGACAAATCGTACAGAAAGTCAAACGAATTATGTTCTTCGAATGGCTGACTGTCGACCGGCAGTTAATAAAAAAATTAATAAATTGGCACTTATCTGGCTCGAATGGACCAAAAAATGAAGAGTTGGGGCGTCGCGGGTGTTT